ATTATATATATATATATATATATATATTTCTATTAATCATTTTCGGCCTTTCGGCATTCGGTTTTCGGCCAACTGTTTCCTATTTTCGGTATCGGTTTCGGCCAAGAATTTCCCATTCGGTGCACCCCTAATAAATACAAATCAAGACTGGCCAGGAGGGAACAAAAACATAATAATACATAATATAGCTTTCAGTTTTGTCCATCACAGCAACAACAGGTGCCCCCCCCACATTGTGTGGGCTATTTTGTCACCTAGAACCACTGGTGTCTTTAACTCTGTCAAACAACTCTCCACAGAGGCAGGGGCAAGCACATCTGTTATTATGGACGCTGCTTTTGTACTACCACATGACATTTTCTTTATTATCTCAGAGTCTGGAAAAATGGTCGGCGCTAGCTTGTTACCACAGTCATTTGACCTGTATGATTGGGAGTGTTGCACTGTATGGTAAACACTTGTTATTTCTGCTGCTGTTAACTTGTCTGAGTGGCCATCATTTTTTTTGTTTGAGTAGGAATGTCTCCTCATAGAGTGGGATGTCTCTTTTTGAGCGACACGTTTCTTGTGAGAATCGCATTCTCTGTGTCTTTTGACGTCGTATTCACCGCCATGTGAAATTGAAAAATTATTCAATTAATCTGCACTGGCTTCACCCACGGGTAAGTGTCTTCCCAGTCTTTTTTGTATGTGCATCTTCTTTTCTTCTTAGCTGTAGTTTCAGTTTCCTCCATTTTCCATAACCTGCTGCGTCGCCTGCGTTATTGGCTGACTTTCGCTGATGTTGTTTGGCGGGGCCGCGGCGGGGGGTGTGTGAGTGAGTTACTCTCATTGGTTAACACTTGACCAGCACCCGCCGTGTGTTTGTACAGTTTGATTGACAGCAAACACACCCCTGTGATGATAGCCTTCCCTGCTTTCTCAATAGCCATTGGATAAAGCTGATTTTAGAAAAGCGTTTTAGCCAATCAAAATGAAATATGCGGGACATCGTCTCAATTTGTGGGACGCACCAAAAGGACTGAAAATGCTGTGCAGTCCCGCGCAAAGCGGGACATCTGGTCACCCTATATGCATTCGAATATATATTTTCAACCTCTTCTGTGTCAAAACTAGCATTGTGATCCATGTTTATTCAGACGTTAGACCGGCCGCTCTCCCCCATGTTACGTCACACGTGGGAGGTCACGTCCGGAGGCTTTTTTATGCGGAAGTAAAAATGTCTTACAAAAACGACGCCAGATGTCACTGTAGTGTATATTTCTGTATATATTTTGGAAAATCTAGTGTATTCATAATTTTCCTACACATTTATTCACTGGTGTCTCTAACCTGGAAGTTGCTCTTTAAGGCTTTACTGATGTGCTGAATAATGTCACATAATGTTATTGAGTTAAAATATCAATATTGGGGCTTGCCAAGTTAACATTGATTGATATGACTGTGATTAAATCAGCATATAGCCTACTTCTGCCAGGGGATGCCACCCCTCAAATTTTCCTGCCACCCTCTTGCCACCCCATTAATATTTTTCTAGATCCGCCCCTGCCCCAGAGGCATTTCTTTTTCTTTTTCTAAACATCTCTAAAAAGGTCGAATTTCACTTGTTTTGCATCAATCTTGATACAGGGTACTTATATGTTAGGGAGGCGTGTGGTGCAGTGGATTCTGCGTTAGTGTTAGGATCAGGGGGTCACAGGTTCAAACCCCACTGCAGTCAGCATGTCGTTGTGTCCCTGGGCAAGACACTTCACCCCAAGTTGCTCCTGTGGGGATTGCCCACAGTATTGAGTATGTAAGTCGCTTTAGATAAAAGCATCTAGCAAGTGACATGTAATGTAATAATGTTATAGTTTGGATTCTTAAAGGTTTTGTCTACTATCCCATCATTCAAGGGTGGTTTTCACTATAAGTAATGTTTTTTTGGGATGTAAACTATAATTTAAATTGTTTTACTATGTTCAATTTGAATTTACTTTAAAATAAAAACATCTATATTGATTCTGACTTTTCTACATCCGACTCACAGGTGTATCATTGCTTTGAGAAAAAAGATGATTAGTTTACTCCTTTTAGAAGTGAAGATTTGTTCTGGGAATATCATTTTCGAGCCTGAGACCTGAAAAACAGGCTCAAGACTTAACAGGTTAACAAAAAAAGATATATAACTAAAGGAGGGCTCTTAAACTCAGAGCTACAATAATGTACAAAATAAGCAATAAAAAAACCAGTAAACGGGAATAATAATTAATAAAAGTAGACAGGGTATACGAATAACGACTAGCAGGCAATAACTATGCAAACGACACTGACACACTCGACTGATGGCTTTCCAAATAGAGATGGGTGAGTCCTGATTCATGGCTAAACCAGCTCCTTGAAAAAGAGCAGGTATACTGCCTTCCTCTGTCCTTAACTCCTGCCTATGTCAGGCTGATCAGGTCCGAGCTCTTTAACTCTCAGCTTTCCCTCCAGTGTCGTCCTCTCAAAGGGTGTTTCTTTAAGTGATTAAACATAATTTCCTTCTCCATATTCGCTATCTTTTGTTTACACTCCGTCTCAGTCTAACTCTCTCTCATTCAAATGTCAATCCCTCACTCTGGCGCTCCTGCTGCCCCGTAGTTGTTGGTGGTGTCAACAGCTGCTTTGGGAATTACATTACATTACATTGCATTTAGCTGACGCTTTTATCCAAAGCGACTTACAATAAGTGCATTCGACCAGGAAGATACAACCTTGAAGAAAACAGAATCATATAAGT